TTTCATATCAATTCATATTTTCATCACTGTCTTTGCTTTGGTAATTTGTCATCAAAATTTTGGAATTGTTGTCATACAATTCTGTTGTGCCAATTGCAATATTCAATAGTACATCTTTGTTTTAATTCTGATATCTTAACCTTTCGACCTATAAGCTGCTGGACTGAAACTTCTCCATACTTCGTATTTTTAGATGGTAACTCAATGGTTGATTCATCCATATTTTATAATTTTATTATTACAATTTATCTAATAGGGTTGACTTTTTATTGTTGCACTAATGCCGGGAAAGGGCTATTTTCACTTGGAAATATAACAATAATTTAAATAAAGATTCTTTTACAAATATGTTTGGTAAATTAACCAGTTAACAGTGATTGACGAGTGTACTCGTCATAGAGAAGTGGAAGAATTTTGTGTATCGTCGAGTATACTCGTCATGGAGAAGTGGAAGAATTTTGTGCATTGTCGAGTATAGTCGTCATGGAGAAGTGGAAGAATTTTGTGTATCGTCGATTATACTCGTCATGGAGGAGTGGAAGTATTTTGTGCATTGTTGAGTGTACTTGTCCTAAACGTCTTTTGTCAGTGTCTATTTGCATTGCAATTTTTCAAGATGCTTTTGGTGCCATGTAGGTATAAAATAAATACAATGTAGTTGTAAGTGGCAAAATAAGCCTTATAACGACATTTTACCTCGATTCTGATGACACAAAACTGTGAGCAAAGTTCAAAGATCGCGCCACAGTTAACTGGTTAATTGATAATTTGAATAAGAATTTGTTTAATGTTTTCTTCAACAAAGAATTGAATGAAATTTTTCTTTGTCGACGGTCTCGATAAAAGAGACAGCTTCTTGTTTCATCATCAAAAGCATGTTATCTTCGGAAATACTCTGAAGGCTTGGATTGTCTGATACCCATAGAAGAATCTGCTTTTTCGAGTTGAGCATATCTTGGTGAAATTATGCATAATAGTAGTATGGTAAATTAAATTTCCATTTGTTTACCCAGTTTGCACAATCCTGTTTCTGTTCCTGGTCTTCAGTGGCAGAAATCCAGAAACCCTTATGGACTTGATGCATAATTTCCATCGGTGCACCAAAGATGTATCTTCTATCTATGATGTACCTAATGTAGAAATTAGTGTTTTTGATATTATAAAGTAATTCAAGAGAGGACATTTTAATACGCTGTGCCAAAGGTGTTTCTTGTGCCATAAGCTTTGAGAAGTTATTCGATTTGAAGCATTTCGAATCCGGATTAGATTAATGAAATTACAACATTATTTCATAACGAAATTTAGTTTGAAAAAAAAAAATAAACGTAGTCGCGATGAGACAGACTGCTTCTTGTTTTATCCTCGAGTATCTTCTGAAGGATTCGGTTGGCTGATATCCATAAATACTTTATACTTTCTCAAGTTTAGTATATGTTGGTAAAATTATGCGTAATAGTAGTATTGTAAATTTTATGTTATTTCTATCCCTGCTAGATGATTAAAAGACAATACTAGTGGTTGTCCATACACAACTTTTTATACTTATTGTTATTAAAAATTACCAAAACGCTCCAATGACTGATGTATGCCGCAATAATCTTATAAAAGTAACAAGTTCTGCAAGTATACTACGTTTACTTTTTCGTTTTCTTGAAGAAAACCAACACTTCTACATTGTAGTAATCTGAAATGATAAATAAATTGGTTGAAATGAAAAATAAATTAGCTAATCGTATGGTTAATACGATCTTTATAATATATTAAATTGGGATTTTTCAATACCTTAAAGTTGTAAATATAACCTCACTTTAGAGATTTGTTAACAGAAATCAGCTATTCTTGATGTTTTATGATCTGTTGTGATGTAATTCCTAGGGTTATTAGAAGGCAATCCAGTGGTTGTCCATTCTCTTTGTGATGAAATTATTATGATAAAATATTTATAATCGTACGTTTTAACTTACAATTAGTACTTTTATTAGAGAGGACAACCCAGTGGTCAACTACTTCTTTTCTTAATAATAATTAACTTTCCGTAGGGTAAGTCATAGTAATCGCAAAAAATCGAAAATATTTTTTTTGCATATCTTTACCTTTCAAGGTTTTCTGAACATTTTGGCATATCATAGAAAAAATGGATGTATATGTGAGTGTGTGTGTGTGTGTATGTATGTATGAAGAACTGAAAATAAAAATGATCATTATGCACATCAAATCATCAAATATTTTATAGATATTTTAATAAGAACAAACTTTGTTTACTTTTCTATGGGTTCCGTACCAATGTTTATCCGTTATACTGCGATGCGGCGCCCACGCGCTTCGATAATTTGTTTCTACGCAACTTATCGCGATTGCTTTGAAAAAAAGTTCAAAATTCCCAAAATATTTTAAAGTATAAAAAAAATCATATTTTCGAAAAGATCAATTTCTTTCAAACAATTTAAAAATCTCAAACAGATTAGCTTCATCGTTCTAAAAGAAAACTGAATCTTTTTTAAAAAATTTAATTTTTAGTACGGGAAGTTCCAGCAATTTGCCTTAAGGCACAATGCCATGCACCACTAGTTTGTATTAGATATGTCTAATCCTAACGGCGTATATGTGTTGCAGCAATGACCAGGAAAGGGTTTTTATTGAGTTCATTTTTGCTTTATAACTTTATAGAGAAATTTGATATCATGCTACTTGATATCAAACCCAGGACATCACAATAGGCTGAAAGGCTGAACAATAAACACGTGTATTATGACTTATTTATTATATCATAAAAACAGGACTAATACAAAGCATTGTTTTATGTGTTAATTGGCAAAAAAGTAATATTTACCCAGAGTTTCTCATACTCGAATCGTTGTATTGATTTCGAAATAAATGTATAATTATTTCTTTCTATATGTCCATTAAGAATCTTTGCTCTAATTGTAAGTCGCTGTGTGGATAATATAATAAGAAAGTGACTGGCCAGATTGTTATAAAGTAGCAACAAGTTATTCCACGGAAAGCTTTAAGCCGTTCGCCTTGCAGAGTCGTATTCGTTGTCTTAATGTCGATTTGTACTAATAAAATAGTTAACATGTATATAGTTAATTACTAATTGTCGTTACTTAACTTTTTATTTTTTATGTTTTAACAGCGATCAGATCTTTGGATCTTATGAGCTGTTGTGCTGATTTTCTGATCTCTATGTGATGAATTTGTTATTACAGTTCCTGTTATACTGATAATTTATAGTAAAAGATATTGTCACTTGGAAACTCTTGCTATCTTTATTTTCGAATGAAAACTTTTGAGAAAACGTCGATTTACGGCAAAAAATCTTATCACACACACACATACTTTTTCCAAATTTGGTCTCATTCGATTTAGAATGGCTTGAAACGTCGAGAAAACATAAAATTAGCAAGTCGTTTTTTTTTATGAAAACATAAACTTCTCCTTCAGGAAGTTAATAATGCAATAGCTAATAATAATAATGCATACTTCTGCTTGTAACTTGTGGCTTGGTATACTTTTATGACTATACAAAAAATATTATAATTAGCAAATTTATTTGCTAATTTTAGCAAAATGCACTTGAAACATGCAGCTGCAATTCTCAAATTAAATTGATCTACTTACGAAATTAGACCAAAGGTAATTTCGTATTTTATTTGTTTTATGTTCGCCCGTCGTGAAATAATGATAGTCTATTAATTAGCATTAGCTTATTAATAAAAAGGGAATCAAATTATTAATATTTTGCGAAATGAGTTCATTTTATGAATACTAATACTAATAAAAATGATATAATAATAATGAAGATCGTGAATGATGTTAGGTTCATAGTATTGTAGATAGCACAAGTGGGTTCTCGTTTTGTTTATTTCTTTTTTTTTTACTAAGTTCTTAGTTGATCATTGATCATTTACTATCTATTTCTTCTTTTGCTACCTTATCTTTCTATCTTCTTTTTTTTATTCTTAATAAAAATATTCACCAATTTTACACGAATTAATGTGAAATGTGACTAACCAATTTTTTAAAAATTATAAATATAATTTTAGTGTTCATATGGTCGTCCATTCAGGAGGATATAAAATTAGTGACTGATAAAAAACATTATATAAAGAGAATTTAAAAAGCACATGCACAAATTCTCATTGTGACTAAATTACTCAGTTGATATAAAAACAAAATTGTAAAGTTATAATCAAAAATCACAAATTACATCATCTTAACAAAAATGTCATTTCTTAACAACTTAATAATAACTCTGTGGAACAAATTTTTCTATTATCCAAAAAACAAAATATCATAATTCTGCTGGGATTTTTTGCGTTTCGCAAACTTGAAAATGTTTACGTGCCTGTGGCAGCTATGGGATTGGTAAGATGGAATTTTGTTTGCAAAACAGAAACTTGTTTTCAGTTGTTTGTTTTGAGAATTGCACGTTTTGTTAGTGCTGTACTCTAAGTACTCTAGCGCTGTTTGTTTACTCGTTTACTCTGAACATTTTGTATTCATCTACTTACCGTGCGAATTTTAATTTCAGTTAAAGTTTGTACATGATATTTTACTATAATTATTGTTTTAAAATCGTTGTAAATTTATTCTCATAATATTCATATTGATGTTGTTTTTATTTTGTTATTGTTAGTATGCACTTAATTTGATTAGATTGCGCTCATATTTATAATTATATTAGTTTAAAATTGGGATTACATTAAAAGTTTGTTTGCTTTTTAATGCAATAACAATATTACTCATTTAACAAAAATAGGAAAACTATATTTATTTCACAAGTTAAAATATAAAAAAAAAATTGTAAGAAAAACTGGAATGATTTATACTAAGTTTCCTGGTTTTTCAGCTTGGTTTTCCTATTAATACTAATAATACTATATTTGACTAATGTAAATCGAACTATTCTTATAGTTTTTTTTGTAAAAAAATGTGATTATCTGAATTTTCTATTTCCCAGGCTGGACCCACCCGCGCTGAGTACAGCTGCCGGCGGATGCGCGATGGACAGTAGCAGACGCTTGCAGCAGTTGCAGCAGGCCAATTCTCACCTTGCCCCTCTGTCTGCTCCCCAACTCGCTCCAACCAATGCAATCGATTATCGACCGAGGTCACCGCTGTTCCCACAAATATCGTCACAGGCGTACAACAATAGCGATGGGTGCAAAACGCCGCTGCTACAGCAGTATCCGCAGGTATTATTTTAGGATACACATATAGGTATTATGCTTAGTTTATTAATTAACTTGACTGACTTTGTTATTCAGGATGTATATGAACGTCGATACGAAGAATACGAGCGTTCAATGGCCGCTGCTCCACTACTTCTAAAGCAGCAGCCGCATCATCATCACCATGAAAATGATCAACAACAGCAACAACTGCAGCAGCATCCATACCAAGCTGCACCAATGATGAGAGCGCCGTCGCAACAATTTCATCAACATCAGGTAAGTTCATGTTTAATGCAACTCTGCAGGTGCTCAAAAATGCAATTGTTATTGCTTATAATGACGTTGTTATTTTTTATTTTCAGATGTATCAACAGTTTCCAAATCACCAACATAACCACAACCACAATCTTTCTCAACATAATGCTCTTCCCCCTCAGCCCCCTTTATCTCCGCCACCTACAACGCAGTCTCTCTTACCTAACTCAACGTCAAATTCCTCAATCTCATCTCGATCCCATCAACAACCGCTGTTACTTCAAGAGCAATACCGCCAACTTCAGAGGGCCAGAACTCAGCAAAGAATAGAATGTCAAGCACGTGCTGCACTGAATCAGCAGCGCACATTTGCAGCGAGACAGGCGGCTTTAGCAGCCGCTTCTGGTAACCCAGCGATTGCCTGCGCCAGCCCAGTTCCCAGTGTTGTTGTAAGCGTAACTCCGGTTAGTAATAGCGGGACTGGTGTTGGCAACAGAGTGCAAGGCGAAGATGGATTCGATGGTTAGTATTCGATTGATTGTTATAATTTGCAATTATTTAATTAGACTTTCTAAATTTTGTAAATTTGTAAATATCCACAGTTTCTACGCCTGGCGCTAGAAAACCATCAGGAATAGATTCTCATCATTCTGACAATCAAAATTACATGCCTCCCCAAAATCATAGAAGACCAGATGGCGCACAACAAGAAAATCCAATGTTTTCTGCTCAGTCTAACAGGAGAGTGCCAGGGGTGGACAATTCTCAACAAAATATGTACCCAAATAATAGAAGACCAGGTTTGGAAAATGCCCAACAAGATAATCAACAATATCCTAGAAGTGCACAAATTGATTTTAATCAAAGAAGGCAAATGGAAAATATGCAGCAGGATAATAATGCACTAAATTATATGAGGAGGACAGGCGCAGAAGACAATCAAATTTTTATGCCAAATAGAAGGCAAGATAATCAGGAAAATCATGGGCAAGTTATTAGGCGAACTACCGATGATGCTAACGCTCCGGTTGTGCCGCCTGGTATCAGAAAGGTTGACGGATCAGAGAATCAGAAAGTGACTGGTATATAAAAATAATATGCAAATATTAATTCTAATATAAACTGAACGATTGAAAGTTTTATATAACTATTTTTATATTTCAGGTAGCAACAATTGTAGAGACAACGTTCGCAGTCCTGTTACTGTAATGCAACCCCCTCCTATATCGGCGAGCAATTCCAGGCGAGAAGTTTTACCTCCTAATGCATCATCAGTGGCAACTCGAGAACGAATGCAAAGCCCTGTGCCAACAATAAACCTTTCGCAACAACAAGCACCTCAAGTACCCCCAAAACCATCTGCTCAAACTGCAAGACAAGCACAACATAATTTGTATGTGCAACCTCATCCTAACAATGGTGATCAATCGATTATTAGTCCAATTGGCAGCCCTGGAGCACCAACCTATGCTAGCAGCCCCGCTAATCAGACACAGAATAGTCCACAGAAATATAGCCAGGGAAATCTTTACAGTCAAGGTCCGACTGTTAACAATCAACAACAGCAATATTATAATCAGCAAGGAAATGTAAATTTACAACACAGCCAAGTCAATCAAAGTAATCAACCTGTTAACTCAAATCCATTTTATCAATCTAACCAGTCTTCAGGCCAATCAAATGAACAAATAAGTTCTCAGCCTTCAACTCCTTATCACCAACCACTTACTCAACCACAAAGATCGAAAAGCATTGCTAGCAGTATAACAAGTAGTATTTCTTCAAATAGCATTATGGTTAGAGGTCCAATAGCCAGGAGACCTATGGATAGTGTAGTGACAATTTCTGGGTGGCTACACAAGCAAGGTTGCGATGGCTTAAAAGTATGGAGGAAGCGGTGGTTTGTTTTGACCGATTACTGTTTATTTTATTACAAGGGTTAGTTAAGCAAATAATTTAATTCATTTAATAATTTATAATTCGTAGTCACAGATGTGTTATTTTTCAAATCAGGACAAGAAGAAGAGAAACTTCTAGGCTCTATATTATTGCCATCTTACACTGTTTCAATATGTACACCTGATGAAAAGCACCATCGCAGAAACTCTTTCAAATGCGAGCATGCCAATATGAGAACTTATGTTCTGGCTGCTGATACACCTGAAGCTATGGCGTTATGGGTTCGAGCTTTAAGAGATGCATGCACAATGCAATGGTATAGATATATTGATAAATTTATTAATAATGAGCAACCGTAATATACAATACATTTTTTATATAATTATTAAGAAGATTTTGAATAAAGCTTATTAAACCCTTAAATATAAATTACTTTATTCTCAATTTTTTTCTATATTTTTTTTTTAATTTTTTAGTGATGAAAGCTCGCACCAATCGCAACCATCAGTATCTAACAGTGATACTTCAACTTCACTTCAGCAGCAGGCAATTAGTGCACCTGTACCACAGGTATTGAATCAACAGCAACAACAGCATATGATAAGTCAACAGCAACAACAACAAATATTGAATCAACAGCAGCAAATGTTGAATCAACAGCAACCTCTTTATGCAAATGCACCCCATAGGGTGAGATCTCCTAATGAACCCCAATGCTATTCACCTGTGCATGGCGGTCAAGAAAGGTGAGAAAAAATAATGTCTTATAATGAATATAATGGAAATCATTAGTTTTATTCTTGGTAAAAAAAATAATGCCAATTTTAACAAAATTATATTGGTAATAATACTCAGTATATGCAACTTTACATCATTTTTTACTTTCAATACAATCCTCTTTTAAATTCCTAGCATTGGCTATTAGTTCAATTTTATTAGTCTCTTTTTTGTTATAACAATTATGATCTCAATTCAGAAAAGTGTAGTTCTAATAATATTGTTCATTGTCATTTCGTACAACAGTGCCCAAATGGGTTATTTTCCACTTAAAATACATTTCAACTTACTGAAGATATTTGCTTTCTTCATAATACCGACTTGCTTATTTTGTATTCTCGACTTTAAAGTCATTTTGCGGTACAAACTCGCGTTTTGCTATTATACATATAATTTATCTACATATGAACTTGAATAAATTTGACAATAATAATATATTTATTTTAAGTTATACAATTTGCTAATTATTTTGCTGGTATGAAGAAATATCATAATTTCTATTTGAATTAAATTGGTTGGAATTAACTGTTTGATAAAAACTTTTAGGTATGATGAATCAGCCTATGGCGCTAGACCCCAATCAAGGAGAATGCATCAGGAGATGGCTCGTTCTCCAATACCTTCTGATGCAATTTATGAGACACAGCAGCAATTACAGGGACGGTTATTGCAACAACAACAAAATATGGCACCTAATGTTTCCAATTTACATCCAGGATTTAGTCACTCATACACAATGGATCATAATGCACAGAAACAACACCAAGCCTTCTTATCATCTCAGAGGCAAAATGCATATAGCAAAACCATGCCTGCTCCAGGGCATGGTCCTGTTAGAGAGCTCAGGTCACCTTATGATATGGAGGTAAAATAGTTATGAATTGATTCTTTATCTTGAAAGTTTTAAAAATTAATAGATTAGCATAAAACTTTTTACACCTTCATTTATTAATGTTTTATAAATGTGATCCTATTCCTTTTCTAGTCATCCTATATGCCTGAAAATACTGAGAATATAATTAGAGCTCCAAGAAGATTCCAGAATCCCAATGAAGAATATGAACAATATACTCAACAGAATGTAACAAACGCAGCTCAAACTTCTCAGTTGAGAACTGTGCAAAAATCTAATGAAAGGAGAACACCTGATACTTACGGTAGATCTAGGCATGCCAGACAGTAAGTTGTTTTATTACCAATAATTTACATTGATTTGTGGCATTTGCTTTATTGTGCAAGTCGATGACTAAACCATTTTTTAATCTATAGGCAATATGCAGCATCAATAAATGCTGCCAATGCCATGGCTGTAACAGGATGTCAAATAGATGCTGAAACTAGTGCAATGCAGCAGTCCGCACCCAGCAATGCTGGTGACTATGAAGATTTATATAATGGGTACAAAAGACCTATGAGTCCGGCACCAAATTCACCTACTTCTTCAACTGGTCTTGGTAATTTGAATCCCCAAAGCAGGGCCGAACTTGAAAGGAGAGGCATTATTTTACCTCATGGGTATAATGATGAACAGGTATGTATAAATTTGAATACTTTTTTTATTTCATCTTTGAAAATCCAAAAAAATAATCTATCATTAATGCGATATGTATAATTTTTAGTCAGCAGCTCCTGTTCAATTGCGTCATAAACAAAACAAACGCCAATTAAATGCTCAATCCCAAAATCCTTACCAAACAAGACGGAATGTAATCCCAAGGCCTCACAGCGCCGATTTCCTTGAGTATGAAACGAAAGCGTCTTCTAATCAAAATTCAACTATGTCTGCTACTTCAGCTCATAACATCAACCAGAACTCCATTCCAGTAAATAATAATGCTATCTCTGGAGGCGATTACGGTAGTAGTAACCGCAGTGCCAGAGATCGTTTAATGAGGCAAAGGCCGAAGAGCAGTCTTGACATGCCCATTGGAGACCAGATGTACTACTCAGAAAAAAGTTATGCAGAGATGATGCGACAGAGTGCGCTTTATGTGGATGCTGTAAAGAGTGGTGGTATTGATGGAGCAAATAGGCAGAGAATTTTAGGGGGAGGGAGGATGTATGAAGATAATAATGCGGGTATTGATAAGAAATTTATCATATTTTGGTTTTTTTATAATATATTTCTGGATAATTAATTATTAATAATGTAGACCTTTAGTTAGATAGGAATTATTATAAATACCTGATAAACATTATTTTTTCTAGGTAATGAAATACCTAATAAGTCACATTCAATACATCTTAGCAATGATGTGCAGAACTATGATGAAGAAATTCGTGAAATGTCTCATTATTCACAAAATCGAGATTTTGTCAACAGTTACAGTGTGCCTAGACAAGGCAGGGATCAGCATATAGATGGTATATTATTCATTACATTATTGATAAATGCATATTGCATTTTCAAGTTCGTTCATATTTCGTTTTATTTTATAGGGTCCAACCAATTTGCCAGGTCAGCGAGTGCTAGGTTATTCCGTAACAACAAAGATCAGGATGAACCTTTAGAGCAAGGTGCCAAAAAGGTGCAACAGGTTAGATTACTTTTAATAAAATTTTTGAACATTATGTTTATATAGTAGAACTCCGACATACGAGTTTAATTCGTCCCGCAACCACGCTCGGATGTCGAATCGGTAGTATCTCGAAGCAATTTTTTCCGTATAAATACATTGAACTACTATTAATTTGTTTCAGCACCGAATATTACAATTAAATTTACTGTTTATTAATTCAATTATTATTTTTTCCTGTCCATTTATGATATTTCGGAAATGAGTTAGACATGTGTTGTTGAATGACTCCCATGCTCGAAATGATACAACTCTTTTGGGATGGTTTTCATCTACAAACTTGTATAGCTCAGAATAGCTGCTTATAAAGTATTATAAGGCATTTATCTGGAGTTAAACCCTTCATCAACTCTTTCTATTTAAACACAAAACATATCTATGATGTATTACCCTCATACATCTTGCCATCCTCATATTTTTTTTTTACTAATTTTACGCTTTAGTTCAATAGATGACTTCTCTCTTTGGACCCATGGTTATAAAAGTAAATTTAAGCCATGGTCATAAAAGTATTGTAAATATACAAAAAGTAAAAAAAACGCGAACTCAACATATATAACTACAGTGATCAACATATATATACATGTTGATTCAGTTATCTAAAAGAATTTTTACAAAGTTTAAAAAAATAACTTAAAATACATTATAGATTAAAAGATAAAATGACAAAAAAGTCATTTTTTTAAAAACAATCAAATATAAAATATATCACATAATAATCACAACATAATCTAATGCAGGACTGCACATATTAACATAAAAAAAATGTTTATCTACATTCGCGGTAGCGTCCACACTTCACATACGAGTTAAAACATGAATGAACAATTTTAATAAAAAAAACTTTTTTTAATTAACATATAGAAAATAAACAATATAAAGTAAACATTTTTTGTTTTTTTTTGTTTAAAACTGAAGATTTGTGTAATGTAAGTTTTGAGCAAAGAACCGAACGCACTCGTGAAAACACGAAGACACACGATGTTGTGTGGAGAGGGTTTTCAAGGATAGTTAAACAGAGGGAACAACAATTTGAGAAAATAACAAATATGAAACATAAGATCAAATAGTCTATGAAAAACACAATAGTCAAAGATTTGAAGAATTATTTTTAAAAAAATTAATAATATTATTATAAGAGTCATGTACTAACAGAGCAACATTTTGTTTATTAACACAAAGGGGGTTTAAAAAGATAAATACAAATTCAGCAAATTTTCTGAGGTCACCATTCTTTTCCTTGTGTAAAATAATAGGATTTTTGTTATTGAAAGTATGATTTAAACTAATGACATGTTCAGAAAACATTGTCTTAAACTGATTTTAAATTTTAGAATTACAAATGTGTTGGTTCATTCTCTTGTAGATATATTGCAAACTTTCGCCCACATAACAATAAATCACCATTCAAGAATATATGTATATATATATATATATATATATATATATATATATATATATTATGGTGAATTGAACCTTTATCTTTGGATGCAGCAAAATTCATAGCTTTTCCTTAGCTCTAAATATAATTATTGACTACTTTGATTTGATACCTAAAATTAACTAGTTTGAGGCTTGTATTAATAGATCTTGAATATAATGTATGTATATTTATAATTTTATTTTCAGGCAAAATTATAGCTATCATTTTTTTATTACCCACAGCGTGAAGAATCTATGAAACGTCTATTGGAGTGGAAGCAGCGCATGCTGCAAGCACCTCTCAGCCGCAGCACTACAGGAGTGATTGATGCAGGTTCTGCCACTGCTATAAACCCTTCAAGTAACGTCAATAGAACAATGTCACCAGCTCCAATGATCTCAGATAGTAATGGGGGATTGAATTCTACGAAACAAAGGCAAAGCAGTTATAACAGTTATTCGTCGGATGATGAAGGTTAGTTACAAAAGGTTTTACATGTTTAGTTGATCCATTAAAAGGTCTAATTTCATGGTAGATGTTATCATTTTTTTATTTTTTTGGCTATTATTTATATTATTACTTTACATAAATGATAAACTTTTTGCTATTGTTATTAAACAGTTGTGACAGATTATTAATTAATGTTTAAAATTGAACTACTGAATCGATTGCCAGATTTGCATAAATGCACTTTAGGTGCTGTTCATATATTAAAACTAATACATTTTGTTTTAAAAGCAACATTCTTTTATCTAACTGCCATATAAAATTTATTTATTGATAGATTTATTGTATGCATAATGAATATTATTATATGTTTATTGTATATACATTTATAAATAATTGTAAAATTGATAATGTCGTATGTAAATGTATCCTTGTGCATATATATATATATATATATATATATATATATATATAATATCAATTAGTTAAAGATAATAAAAATAGTGTTAGGCTCACTTCCTGCCTGCTTCTTGGGAATCTCGAATGATTTAGTAATACTATTTATGTTTTTTGGGGTCATTTGGTGAAACACTAACCAATTATTTTTTAATATGTATTATAAATTTAAATGTTTTAGTTTTTAGTTCACTCATCGCACAAATTACACTAGACAATTCTAATTCCACAATATGCATGCATTCATTTCAATTAACTTGGTTCTGGTTATTGGTGTGAAATTAATTCAAGAGTTATTAGTCATAATGGGTAAAAAATAAAATGTTATTTGGTTTAGTTGTTTTTCAAAATCATGATTTATATATCAAATATTTTAATTATGCATACATTCCTATAAAGATACATATTATTTATAAAATTATCAGGAAATTAGTATTAATAATAAAAAAACCTAAACAGACCTTTTTATCCAGAACGACTATATCAATATATGGTTCAGGTATTAATTCCTATTCCTATTTCGATCATTTGATTTTTGAATATATTTTACTGTTATTTTGGCATTTTGTAATTGCAATAGTTATTGGGTTTATTTCTATTGCTTTTTAGAACAAAAACTATTTCGATTGAAAACAGTACATTATACTATTTGAAGCAAAAGAACATTATATATTATGAATATGTTCATTTTGAGTTTGAATTTTCATTCTGCTATAACAAGCATTTTAGTACATTTTGATGTTAAAGTATTTTTTATTATTTTTAACTATAGTTGTACTTTGCATTTAAATATCAAATTTTTCTAAACAGATTGTTTCAACCAAAACATGACTTCAAAAAACTATTGTATATATAGAAATATAATTGGTATAATAGACAGGGATCTTGCAATGTTTTCAAACAATTGCTTATTAGAAGATGTGTTTATAATATTATGTAGATTCGTTAATAATATAATTGTAATGAGATAATTTGGCTAACCTAAAACTTCTATAAACATCTTATATCATTCAAAAATAGGTATTTTGTAACGTGACAAGAAGCTATTGAATACACAATTATTTTTTACGATAGCGATAATCATGTGATGCTAAGTAGCCAAATTATTTTTTTCTGCATTAGCTTGACGAATAAACATAATATATGATACAAAAATTTTAATCTGTGATTGATTTGACGACGTCGCGATTTCCTTCCTTCTATTCTGGTGTATAAAACTAAAATCACAAAATAAAAACTGTTTGGATCAGATGGATGGCAGGCAGGAAGCACGAGTAGTCCCCTCACTACCACCACCACTAGCACAAATCACCACCAATCTACTTCAACAAATAATAAACCGCCGAAGCCACCGGGCGATAATAGATCGCGCGCCGCCAATAAACCGCCAGCCGAGACGCACCTAAAAACTCCATTGAAAAAGTTCGGAAGCGTTTCCGAACATCCGCCGCCGCCGTCGCCGTCTTGTACGGTTTGCGTCGATTCAAACGCCGCCGGACCGTTGTGTACCGCTTGCTGCGGCACCGGCAAAGCGTTAACGAACGATACCAAATCAGATAATAATAACGAAACTGTTGCATCGCGTTGTAGATTATTCGATGAATCTGTAGTTTCGGCCAAAAGGCGTAGTAGCGATAACTTACCGCCAAGAACTTCCCGTGACGGCGTTTCCGGCGATAAGCCGCCGTCTCGAACTAATTCTTATGCATCAGATAAGAGTAGCATTTCAGTAACTGATGGCAAATCACACGTATACCCTGATGATGTCTTTAATACTAATAAAGAATTACAATTCGCCACCGGGCAAACGCCGCGTAAAAGCCATGAATTAAAAAAATTACCAAAACAAGAAGTTAACCAAAATAAAGCATTAAACATTCACTACGTTCCTGTGTACACGCAAAATAGCCGTATGTCTAAGAAATCAAATGCGGCAGAGTTTGATACAAAGACTACTTCACTAATAACACTTAATGTTCAAGATGAAAGCATTTCTACATTACTGAAGATGCAAAGCGGCAGCTTTGATTTATCAAATAATGTACAAAGTAAAGACGTGGAAGATGATCAAAATGGAACCACATACACTGACGGAGATATCGATGAAATTTTAGGAAATGATACAGACGTTACACCAACTGGTGATGGATCTCTAGAGAAGCAAGATGACGTACATTGTCTTACTCCTGTAATGGCTGAGGATCATTATTTACCAATGAGTCCCAGGAAAAGTACAGAGTCCACACAGCTAACAGAAAGTTTGAAAAATTTAGCTTTGTCAGATACTGAGGAAAGTCCTTATGTTGAAATGACACAAGGTTTGAGTAATAGCTCTACCCTATATGGCTCTTTAGACCGTGATAATAGTTTCGGTGATACACCTTACGAAATGATGGTAGCAACAAGTAAACTTGAACCAGTCTATATGGAATTATGTCAATTAAAAACTGGCGAAAAGAAACCGGAAATTATTAAGAACTCCAAAACTACTAAAAAAGTTCAAGTGAAAAAATATCATGATATTAAAACTATCAAAAAGCATAATAATGAATATTTCAAGACGCGCGGGGAATTACCCGATATTCTCAAAGCTTCACATCAAAATACTATTCTCTCAGATAGTTCCGACGCGGATGATGAGGCATCCAGAGATTTAGATAGCCTAGATACGCCATGCCATCCTAGATTCAGCTTATCCGATACTTTTAGACCAGCCTCATATTATTTAGGCGTATCCCAAAATGAATTTCCAGATAGTTCTGATAGCGAAATAGTATCACCACCTCCTATTCCTAAATCTCTACCACCAAATGAGGATTTGAGCTCAAACTCCAGTATAAATTTGAGTAGAGAATATTGCTCTGACGCAGATTTGCATTCAAAACAATCTCACAAAACTAGTCGAAGCAGTTTGCAGGAGCCTATGGTTAGTAATAAATTGAAATGGAGCAGCGGAGACATTGACTACACTTGCCTAAGTCGTTATAGTGTGGACAACAAGTTATATATAGAAGGCGTTAAGAAGCATGATGATTCCAGAACTACAAGCGATACAGACGATGCTGTAGGTTCAGATCATGAAGCTAATAGACTAAAACGAAGACCCTTAAGCGAAGAAAATGTTAGTGAGATCACGTCCATCCACAGTACATTTGATGAAATTATAGAATCTGTAGACCTGGATCAATATCTGAAGGATCTTCAAAATAATGAGTTTATGTATGGAAAAGAAATGTATCCAGCACCGTTTGGGTGGCGTGATAACGAACAAAGTATAGCACAAGTACCTGATGAGCAGTATTATGAAAACTTAGAAATTAGAAATACAGATCTCTCTACAAATAGTCAAGGGGTCTTTTATGACTCTCTAGAGGAAAGAGATGATACGAACTCTAAAAGTCATGTGGTATCTTTGAGAGAAAAGAATTTATCTCTACATGATGCAAACTGCGGTGATAGAGATAGAACTGATTGTGAAACAGATGTAAGATCGTCTTTAAGTCATTTGGATTTGCAACAAGCAACACCTTTACATAGCCGAAATAATAGTAATATTTCAGAACAATCTGCTCCATATTATTATTCCGATATTGCTTCTAGGATGAGTTCCAATCAAGATGTGGCGTCGCCTCATAGCGATAAGAGTAAACAAATAGAATGTTCTACAAGCGATAATCTTATGGAAGAAAGTAGATGCGCTTCAATGGAATTTTTAAACAAACATGACAACGTTGACAAACGCAATATTTACGAAAGTGATACTTTAAAACGCATTAAATCTGCTAAAGAAGATTCTACGAGTTTGTTTTTAAAGCACGATAAGTGCGTAGTACAAGCACATGATCAAGGGTTTCATTTGCATACTGTAGATTCGTTTCAAACTTCATCCTCAATAGTGGATATGTTGTTACAAAGCGTAGGCAGGGAAAATTTAATACAACCTCAAGACGAAGGAGATGTTCCTTGGGAAGAGGATGCTATATGGAGGGAAAGTTTGAGACGGGAAAGTTTAAGACGCGTCAGTGTAAGACACGCTAGATCTTTGGACGATCTTGACGGACTTGTCGATCAAAAGGACTCAAAGCAAAATAAAACAAAGTCGAGATTATCTCGAGGAGTTACTTATGTCAATGATAGCTTAGCTACAAGCAGAAACAAAAGGACTAGGTGTTCCTCAGGTGTTATTGAGGACGAGTATGTCCAACTTGCTGTTAACAACGTTAGCGATGATGGAGTTTATGAAACTTTACAAAACCGTCATAACAATTTAAAAAGCTTTGATTATGTAGATAGAGAGAAATTGAGGCAATGGGATTGGATGTCGAGTGGTTTAGTGAAGAATGACGCTATTGGGGCGTCCAAAACTGGCGGTAATACAATTGGCGGCGGCGCGTCCGATGATAAATCGGTGGCTTTGGCGGAACGGAAAGGTGAAACACAGTTATCACCGGATGGGCTCCTTGAAGGTTAGGGTAGGTTATTATGTTTTCAGTTTACTTTTTTTTAAAATAATTAAGACCATTTCTAATATAAGTTAAACGTTTATTATCGTTGTAATGTTATAAGAACTTTATTTAAAATTGTCGAATGTTTAAAATGACGGTTTTTATATATTTAAAACACAGTATCGACCCTCAAGCGATATGGCAAAATGCAAGAGTTTGATTGTCTAATACTATAACATTTACAACTATATTAGACGTTACAAAAGTTTTTTTTTGTTGCAGCAAAAATCATATTCATGATTCATTATTGTGTATTCATTCACATTTGTCTTTTGTATATTTTTATATTTTCCAAAGAATTTTGTGTAAATACAAATAAATCCATAGTTTCATGTGTATATAAAACTGTAATCATTATATTGTAAAGTCATTTCAGTATTGACTATTTTTCTTGATGAATTATATGAAAATGTGCATGTTTAGTTCAGGTCATATTGTAAGCATCAAATGCACGTTTTACACAAAAGGTAAGAACACATTTCCGCACAATTCTTTAAAAATATTTCACTTAAATTTATTATTTTTCTCGTTTCTGAAGATACTAAACATTGTGATAATTATTTTGTTCTCAGAGTGGTAACGCTAAGCCAAAAATATATATTAATTTGATTGTCGGCGATTATGTTTTTATTTTTGGTCATAATTCTTATTTTCCAAAGTTATTTTATAATGAAATTTATGCTATATTGTTGTGAGTATTGTATTTTTACAAATACTTATGAACTTTTGGACATAATCTAGGAATTGAACATAACGGTTCTGATCTCGATGCATTGCACAAAACTAGTCTTATAGCCATTTTAAAAACAGTATTTGATGGCTCTTATTTTCTTAGTTTATATTGACATAACTGCTGTCAGTCCTGCTATTGAAGATCATTATCATATCTCATTTACTTGAATTTCTATTTTCAGCGTCTCTCACCAACAAATTAGGGGTATACCCAAAAGCATCAACGCTACCAATGCGTGCGGTCAGCCCTAGATTAAGACTAAGTCAAGAAACTTTATTACAAACGGATAAATATACACAAAAACTTAATGGAAATGAATATTCAACAACAAAAACTGATTACGACAAATATTATTCGAGAAATTTATATGACAGCGATCTGATAAACTCAGATCCAAATAGTGGTAAATTTATGTACAAGGAAGATCAAGACAGGTACGGTAGTAAACAGGGATTAATAAGGGACTACGACGCCGAATATGGTTCCAGGGAAATGTTTGTAGACGCAGAATATGGTTCCAGGGATAATTTATTGGGCACAAATCATGGAGAGTATGATAGTAATTATTTGAGCAGAACTGGCGAAGATTGGTCGAGACTGAGAAGATCAGGAAGTCAAGTCGATGATCTCAACTTTATTGATCGGGACCAGATAAATAGGGTGAGTATTTTTAAATGATGCCATCGTGCAAGTTTTGAATAGCGCTATGATTACAATTATATAATGATCACATTTTGTCAGTTTTATTTTTTTTTGTAACATAGATAACAATGACATTTATGTTTAGTAATTACGTCATTTGTATTAGCATTTAAATGTATCTGCTGGTGATTTGTTGGGGCGTACACATGAGGAATTAGTTCTTCTGTTGATTCAATTGAGGAGACAAAATGCAGCAACAGCAAGAGCGGTCGAGCAGTGTTGCAGTAAAATACATCAATATCAGGTTTCAGAAATTCTTCATATAGGTTATTGCTTCTGGTGAATGGTATTTTGGAGCAACTCACTCACACTAATAGAATAAGCTTTTAAAGTATTTTTTACTTAGATCAATAAATGTGATAAATAATATCTTTTAATCCTTTCGCTACGAGAAGGTTTGACACGGGGGTGATATTGCTGTATGAGCGAAAAACACAACATATTTTGTTCACATAAAATGTATTTGAAAATTGCACTTGAAAAAAACTAAAAATCACAAAAACAAATTAAAATTTATTTTAAAACAAAATGATTACGACACTCCTAAAAAAGGTTGTCAAGCAGATGTCGCCTATTGGCGACGGTCGTAGCGAGCGGGTTAAATTAAATATTTTTGCTGATAAATGAAGCCAAAAGCTTAACGTTTTTTTGGCATATTTATTAAATGAACATGATTATAAATAATTTATTTGGATCTAATATGAAATACATGACTTTGCATCTTAGCAACACGCTGTAGTATGGAGATTAATCAACTTATATTTTTGATATAAAAAAAATTAAATTGACAAGCAACATAAATGATTCAGAGCAAACTAATATATAACACTTCTAATATTTATGTATTTGATATCATCTCATTATTTTATATAGTTCTTACGCTGTAAGAATACTCTAGACGTATTAATTATTAACACCAGATTGTTTAGAATCACATTTTACGTCTTAATCACTGCATTTTATTTGCAAGAACTAAGGTATACTAATGATTCCTAATTTTATTGTACCAGTTTTTTCATAACCACCTCAATAACCCGAAACTGGGCCAGTAGCTGCTGAGCAAAATAATTATTTGGTTGACTAACACTGATGTACCAATGTATTTTTTATATATTTTATAATAATAACAAATTCACTCATGTTCAAATCATATCACATGTGATTTTCACAGAGTCGTCTCGGAAAATCGATCGACGATTCCAAGCAGCGTGAAGAAAACTTGCAAAAATTAAACGCTCTAAAACACCATTTGCTCGAGCTGGAGAAGCAGTACGAGAAAGGTAAACCCTTGGTCAATCTAGTGGACAATATGGTCAAGCTGGGAGCTCTTTATAAAGGAAATGCTAAACCGACAAACCAACGACATAATGGCGGTTATTTGAATGATAAATTGGAGTTTAATCAGAGGCTGGAAGAAAGAAGGCTGATGAAGGAAGAACAAAAATATTGGGATAGTGCTAACGTGGATGAGCAGCAATTGCAAGTTAGTAATATTTGTATTACCAAAGAAAATATTATAGATATAGATATAGATGCTATTTGAAAACTCGTTTTTGAAATTAACTTGAAATAATTTGAAATTTCTTCGGCACCCACATGCTTTTTTTTTCTAGCTTAAATTTCTAGCGTTTAAGCGTTTAAATTAGCGATTAGTGAAACATGCAGAAGAATTATATATTTCTTGATATTGAAAAAAAAAACTATATTACAAATTTTATATCCGAATCTTGTTTTGGCGCCCCTAAGGTGTGCGCCCGCATTTTTCGCATTCGTCGCATTCAAGGGAGAACCGGCCTTATATAATATCCTAGTATATATCAATATAATATTAATGCATTTTATTATGATATTATTATTATTTTCATGCCTGAACTCAGAGAAATAGTGATAAGGATGTGAGTATAACCCAACTGTAATGTTTATTTATAAATTGGCCTTATAAAAATTAATTAGTAATAATTTTGCAATTTTTAACAAATTATTAAAAAGAATTACATACTAAATATTGCAAAACTTTGTAATAGTTTCTACGGCAATTCGGTATGCTTACAAATCACTCATAAATTAATATATTGATATCTCATTGTCTAAGTCGATTATTTACACATGTTGGGAAATTTATGTCACTTTTTTAAGGGAAAATGCCTCTTATACCTATTTTTTTACTAGAATAAAATGCGGCAACTTCAAGAGTATAGCGACCAACTTCGCGAGCAATCAAATACTTTACAAGGACTACGCAAAGATGAAGAATCGCTTCGAGGGGCTTTGGCAAGCTTAAAGACACGTATGCAGCAGGGTCAACAATTGAAGCAGACTCATAGTACTATGAATTCTGCTGCTGGGAGAGCCGAGTTGCTGGAAAAAGCCAGGGAACAAGAGAGGGCTTTGGAACGAGAACTGACTAAAGTTCGGGAGCTCTTGGTGAATAATTCCAAGGTAACAGTGGAGAAAAATTTTGATATCTATATTTTAAATAGTTGCTATAGTTAAACCTTTATGTTTATTAACGAGTTAAGTGTGTCGCGCTCGTCAGAATCGAGTCATGACAAGTATATTCATCAATCACAGTTAACTAGTTAAATGATGATACTGATAGCCTATTTTTTAATTTTTAGATGAGATTAGTTAATTTTCAGTTCAAATTTTTAGATAAATTAGTTGCTAATAATTTTAGTTGTAACTTTAACATAAAAACTTTAACTTGTTACTTGTTTTGTGTCAGAAATTAGAAAATACGTTGTCCGCGAACTCAAGAGCTGAAGATGAGTTACGAGTAATGACTCACAGATTTCAAGAATCCAAAACCAATAACGGTTCTCAACAGCAACTATTGTTTATGGGTAACATGAATAGCAACACTAATGGAACTAGCAACAATCAAACTGATAGTGTGCCCTATGCTGGAGGAGCAACAGCCTTACTTGAATCGGGTTAGTACTTACTGATTACTTTATAATATTCTATAAAACTTATATTATATAAATATAAAAAATGAATATTATATAATATTTTTATGGACCAATTTTTGAATCAAATAGTTACCTTAATTTGAGTATTTGCATGAGTTGAAAGTCACAGTGCAACTAGTTTTACCTCCAAATAGCACAAAAGTTCGACTTCACGCCGATTTTATTTTTGCAACAAAATTACACATTGCAAGAAGTAGAACTAATGTTATATTTTGAAGATTAGAGTTTAGGAGTTGATATTGTGTAAAATGTACGATTTAGGAGTTAGTTTGTGTGCTTTATAACACTAATAATATAATTTTAGAACTAAGGCGTGTGCAAGAAGTAGTCGGTGACATCCAAAGACAGAGACAAGAATTGAGTTTAGCTGTACGTGAGTTGACAGATAGATCACAATATGTTGATAGAGATGTCTTGCCTAAACAGACTTTAACATGTGAGTATGTTTGTTGTATTAATCATATAATAATAAGTAGTGTTCTGCCCGAAGGAGAGCTTCACAAAACAATGATTCCTTTTCTCTTTCTTCATATTATTATTATTATTCACATTTCCAATTTTCTACTTTCATGCTTTTTGATTCTGTGCTTCAGCTTTCAGTTCTTTGTATTTTTTTTTCTCGCGTAAATCATCAATCATCTGCATTCGTTTTCTTTCTAGTCCTTTTAGTCCTTCTATTTTACGTTCGACGACGTCCTACAGCAGTCACTTATTTTGCAATATAGGTCCGATCCAGTTTCCTTTCTTTTTCATGATCTTGATAATGTTATAAAATTGATTGGGTGGGAGATTTTTTTCCTTACTATCTCCCTTCATAGTTCTTGCCTACCCTTTACCCATTTTTTGCACTCCATAATGGCGTGCTCAGCATCCACCCTAGTCACTTTACCCAAGCAATAGCAATTAAGATCACTTTTAATTAAAATATACAAGCTCTAATAAAACTAAGCAATTTTCCAAATTAATTCGAAATTAATAACCTTCTTACGTATATGTTTAAATTTACAAAAAATCAAAGATTCAAATGTTTTTATACTTTTTTTGTAATATTTTTTTTAGCAAATGCATCTATAAAGAAGCGGCCTCAAGCTACATGGCTAGAAACGGACCTAGATTTGATGATTACATTGGAACATGGTATCAATATCGAAAGCGATGAACAAACAAAAAATAATTTATACAAGAACATGATAAACAATACAACGTCAAATAATGGCTGCAATTTAAATGTTGAGAGTAGAAATGTGGAGGATGATGAAGATAGTGGTTCTGAAAACAAAGCTTTGGGTAAGCGACTGATTCAGAATTATTTTGTGATAAAATATTTTATGCTTTATATTTATTATGGTTCAATTAAATTATTATAGGAGCCCTGAATGCAAATTCTCAGGAGAGATCGGAAGTAAAAACTGTGCGGATCGTAAAACGAGAAAGTGAACGAAGACACCGAGATCGAAATGAAAAAACTCAATCATGGAATTACACAAGTAATTTGGATCATGTAAGTAAAATTCAAGGCATCTCTAATAAAATGATCAAAATTAATATTTGCTTTTATTTGAAAAAAAAAATTACAAATCATTTACATTATGAATTATGATTTTAATTTAATGTATGTTACATAATTCGAGAAAACCATTTTTGTTTTAGGTTATGGAAGAAGAAACAAATCGTCCTAAGTCTGTTTTTGAAAATGATTTAACATCAATATCATCTTCGAACCAGCAACGACCTTACTCATACGCACAACAATACAGTCGCAATGCAATAAATAATTCCAACTATCCCTCGAATGCATCAACCAGTTTTCTCGGTGTTTCCAATAACATATACACATCCAATAATTATTCATCAGACAATTTATCATCTAGAGATCTACTAAACGAAAATAATTTGATACTTAGTAAATATAATTCCGCGGACCATTTCTCATCATCACAAAATTTGTATGGAAAATCGGAATTTCCTTCTTCGCAGAATTTGTATGGATCTCGTGATCTCAAGAATTTGTCAAAATGTGAATCCATTGTTAGCCTTAGCAAATCTGCTGAATTGTCACCAGTTTTCCATAGTCAAGCAGCTAAAGACATAATAAGTACGATCAATATCAATGATGTGAAAACTGAAGATAAATACAACTCAAAGAGTGAAGTCATGATTCATAAGAGACAAGTGCCTAAAGAGAAGAGGAGACATTACACAGCTCCAACTAATGATATCAATATGAAAGGAGTTGCTAATATGGATGGATCCTACAGCAATGGTGGCACCACAGACTTAAGCTATAGTAAAGAGGTTAGCAGTACTAATATTGCTTATTTATGTTTTGATATACAATTAACTTTCCTAAGGAGTAATTTGCTTTTACAACTTGCTAATTTTATGTTTTCTCGACACTTCAAGTCATTCTGAATTGTTTGTTGAGGCTAAATTTGGAAAAAGTGTTATGTGTGTGAGCCCATTTTTGACCTTTTGTCGACGATTTATCGAACAAAATTTTCCCAAATTGAATAAACTGCAATAGTATATCACATGGCAGTTTTCCTTACGGCAAGTTGCAAAAACTTCTCGGCATGTGTAAAACTTCGACTTAATCAATAAGAAATTAATATATTAATTTATGACTGATTTATAAGTATACCAGTTGCTGTAGGGCATCTTAGTATGAGAAACTACAACGATTAATTCAAATATTAATTAATTCAAAGCAACTTGCCATAAGGCAAAATAATACTTCTAGCCCGCAATTCTAAATCGATTATTAAAATTCAAAAACGTTCGAAAGAAATTGGTTGGGAGTCGTCTGATTAGTTTTTGGTAAAGATCGCTTCGGGCCGACGATTCGACGGTTTTTATGATTTTTTTTTGACGGTAGATACCATAGTCTTATAGATTATACTAAAATATTACGGCCCTACGGCAACTCGTTTACTTTAAAA